GGGGGTGCTGACACCCCCCCCCCCCCTGTAAAGTTGTCTGCGCCGCGTGGCGCACGTGTCTCGCCCCAGGTCGTTATTTCGGTGGTGACCACCGCCGGGCGATAGATGGCGTTGTGTTCGCTTTGCGTACCACTGTTGGTAGAGTGGTAGCGCCGGCGGTGGCCCCTGGCGAAAGGCAGGCCTTGGCGGTGGGCGAGCGTTGAGCGAGCCTCTTCTGCGGGTGGCGGCTGCCGCGAACGGTTGTCTGTAGCGTGGGTCCCCGGTGCTCGGCAACGCGGGCTTCGCGCCGGGGTTCCACGTGGAAAGTCGGGCGTTGGCGACGCCGCCTTGGGTATGTGCTAGTGTGTTGGGTGTGTTAGTGTGTCCTAATCATGTTATTGTGTGTTTAGTGTGTCACTGCGTTATGTTGTTTGTATGGTAGCGTGGTATTTGAAATCGGTGTATCGTTTGGCGGACAATATCGTCGTCTAACTTAGTTAATAAATGCATGTATGTTGTGTGCTTTGTACCGACCGCGTCTGCTGTGTCCGTTCACTCCAAGAGCGTGGCGTGGCGATGCGCACGTTCGCCTCGCCGAGACCCCACAAGAGGCAGCAGGAAAATTCAGATTTTCTTATGACCCGTGGTCAAATTTTGTTGCTGACAGCAAGCGTGGTGAAGATCAGTTATACAGTGAAACTTCAGTCCATGGTAGTATGCACTACCAGGCATCTCACACTTGGAACATGAGAGAGATGAAGCTGTCTCTGCAAAGCATTATTCATGCAAAAGTTCTGCCGCTCGCAATTCAATGGAGGACACCAGATCCCTATATCAACGTCTCAAAGAGCAGAGCTGTGTGTGTTTCTGGAGAGAGATGAGTTTTGCACCATTTTGGACACACCACCAAAGAGATGTGACTTGTCATGACTGAAAGTTGAGCGATGCTTTCTCAACAACAAAAGTGCAGCAAAATCACATTACACGCTTCATCAGAGCATTGTAGAAATGTCTGTGACTCGGAAGGACCTGTCTTAAGAGAAATTACCTCATTTGCTTCAGTTTCAGAAATACCAGGCCACTGTGGACTAAAGGATTCAGTCCACCGCTGCTTACCATGCTCCTAACGGTGTCAAAAACACCACTGGACATCGTAAAAGAACTACAATGCAGTTCCAGAAATTGAGCACAACGGTAGCATCGTGAAAGATCCGTCGTCTGAGCCAGCGTATACCACTTGCAAGAAGCGAGGATATAGGGTGATATGACAGTCACTCACATGGCTGAACGATCAGTGTTCTGCGACCTTTTCTTTAAAGAGGCCTTCCAGCCCTTTTGCAGCATGGTCAGAAAACATGGATGATTGGTAGTCAAGGCCAGTGAGAATGTAAGCCAAACGTTGTACTGCAGCACGTCGCCTGGAATTCACAATGATATCTCAGGCAGCCAGAAATAGCTTTCTTTCCTCTTGACAAACGATGTCACAAACCCAAACATCTGCATCATAAAACCAAAGTCAACAAGCACTGACTAATTCACACATTAAGCTGCATAGTTAATGCGGCCACCACCGGATGTCACGACATCTCTCACGTGCACTTGCAGTCACATTTAAAGTAAGTGGTGTGTCCAAAGAAAAAAAAGAATTTAACTCAGGTGCATCATGTGCGCTTTGTCATCACCCTGAGTAACTTTCAGCACAACCAGTGATATCAAAAGCTTAAATCCTGCGACAAATTCCTGTTACTCTGCTCATGCATGCCGAATGGTAAACATACCTGTGGCAGTCAATTTATGAGCCTATAAAGTCCTTCAGTGAAACCACGTGATGATTAATAATAAAATTGTTGCAGGGCCCCTTTAGCCTTTTTGCAGCTGGCTTTTCCCTTAAAGGGACACTAAAGAGCAATACGCTTTTTCGCCTATTAGTGAAGTACAATTTCACAATCCCCCCAACACCACTTTTGCCACAACATAACCCTTGGTAATCGGGAAAGTGGGCAAAAAGAAACTGTTGGTTGAGACGACACCTTCAGATTAATGCACGAAACGCTTTGACATCATCAAGTTTTGAAGGCTTCTTTTGGGTCTTACGTAGCTTCTAATCGATAAAATCAAAGTACATTGAAATATGTGGTTGCCATAGACTTACATACGAAGTCTCAGAAAATTTCATCGAGCTGATGTAGCAAAAACACAAAAAAATGCATTGTGGAGTTTTTTTACGTCATGTGCAAAGATTACGGCACGAAATTTAAATTAAAATTTGATTTTTTCTGCTAATAATGAATTTATGACAGTGAAACTTATGACATTGGAGTTCTCAGAGTGCAGTTTATCAATCTGAAACAACTCACTGCTTCTTCTTTGTGTTCCTTTACATGAGCACGCTGTGACACTTCTGAATCGTCATAGTGACCATGCCCTGTCCTATGCTCGCAACTGTAACAAGCTAACATGCTGAAGATGGTTGCACCATCATATTGCCACGTTCCTTTCTCAAGCTTTGTTATTGCCCCGTTACACTACGTTCACTGCAAACTGCGCCTAAGATGTTCGAGAAGCTTCGAAAATGTGACGATCTTCACCGAAGAAGTGACCTAACTCTTCCGGCATGCCGACCCCGATATGCCTGAAGACAAAGAAGTTCGCTTCTTCATTTGAGGAGTAAAGCCGGAGCTTTTCGCGGGTCTGATGCGGAACCCACTGTCCACTGTCGAGGCGTTCATCTCTGAAGCGACAACGATTGAAAATCCGATGGAGATGTGCACCCGACAAGTCAATCGCCGCTCTACGCCAGAGTACGCAGAAATGCAAGCAGTCTGCTTCGAAGGCATACATGAAGCTATCCGAATGATCGTTCGGTAGGAGCAGCAAAAGCTGTTACCCTCAGCGCAGCCTCAGCGAGTGGACTCGATCGCCAACATTGTCCGCGAAGAAGTTCGGCAATCGCTTGAAATGTACGAAGCTCCGCAGCCTCGGCCACAAAAGCGATGAGCTACGCCGCTGCGACCTGACACTACGTTCCCCCTTCACGCCCACGTCAAGAGGTCGCACCGTCGCAGTTTCACCCCCAGCCACCCCCGCTGCCGACGCCATACCATCCATCCACGGGTCAGCGCAACACACTTAGGAAAACGGACACATGGCCTGCTCCCGACCACCGACCTCTCTGCCACCACTGCAGAGAAGCTGGCTATACCTTCTTCCGCTGCCAGTACCGTCAGATGGGACTGAGTGGTTTCGCCGTAGATGCGGCACGTCCACAGAGGGGGGGGGGGGGGGGAACCCCACTCAACTCTGAGTTACCTCCCCACAATTCTCCTTATTTTCTATCTCTCTCTCTCTCCCTGAGGGTAAATGGGATCTGCCGAGTTTTTAATGTTTCATGAAGCTGTTATATGTAACGTTTAATGAAGCCGTTCACAAAAGCCACAACCACACGGACATAAAATGACGCTAGCACAAGCACCGGTCCTCTCCTGTTGCAACCCCGCCCTTGTGTTTGCGCTATTTTCAGAGCGTGACTATCTCTGGTGCGCGGTTTCATCAAATATTGCTCACCAACTCGCCCACAGTACGTATTAAATATATTGAACGTGCCTTGCCAAACAGACACCTTCTGTATTCTTCGCTGTAACCTAAATGTATACTTCCAGTAAGCACGCTCCGCCACACTCCGCCCAACCCCAACACGAACGGTACTTCCTTCTGCGCAGTAGAAATTTTATTGCGATGGCAATTATGTGGACAGTCTCGGCTGGTTTTGGCCACCGCCGCCACCGTGATTCAGGTATATGTAAATGTTTGTATACATATACGTCGTATACATATACGGCGAAAGACGCGTTAGCCTGCTTTTTCTACCGAGCGTACAACGCCTTTCCGACCGGAGTCGTGTGCGCACGCGCTTATTTCGTGAGTTAACATGGGGGTGGGGAGCCATGCCGCGCTATAACGGCAATGATCAGCGCGCTTCTTGTGCCGTTACAGCAAGCGGGAGCTTCTAATGGCTGCGCTCGCACCACGAAAAAACAGTGCCTGAAATGTACAGCCGTGTTCTTACCAGCGTTTCGTAGTGTAACGCGAGATCTGATGCTAGTCTTGCTTCGTAAAACATTCGAATATGTTGCTATCGCATTCATTGTTCCTACTTCTTGGCAAAACTTAGCTTTTAATAGTACGCACATCTATGTGCCCCAACATTGGTAGAGTAATGTTTGGGTCTAAGATGAATACCCATTCGCACGACGTGGACTCCCAATTTCTAACACTGAGACACCAGCTACCCGCTCAGCAGCACACGTATACTCGGGCTTCGCATTATAAAACGTATTCTATTAATAGTCTAATTAAAATAAAATTGACGCCATTCCGCAAGCGTCAACTCCAACTACGTACAAAAATACGCATGAAAACTGAGCTGTAGTATTGGGTCCTCGGTGTCTCCCGTCCGTAGATCCCGCAACCACCATTAGGGCCGCGCGTTCGGCTTCTTGCAAGTCAACTCGCAGGCCGTCTTCGTGTGAAATCGATTTGGCCCGGTCAGGCACCGGTGCGACTGCAGCACGCGCCGCGTCAACCGGTAGCAGCGCGCATCGGACCTACTGCAACGCAAGGAGACAAACTAGCGATCTCGACATCCTCATCGACGGCCACCGCGTCACAGCTCTTGTCGACACCAGAGCCAACTATTCCGTAATTAGTGGGACATTCGCCGCGAAGTTAAAGAAAGTCAGCTTACACCAAGACACTGGCACTGATAGCGGCGAGCGGAGCGTCGGCCGTCGATCAACTGATAAGCGGCGAAGCGTGTCGGCATTCATACACTCGCCATCGAACATTCTAGCGTTAATGCTATCGGCGACGTAAATTCCAGAATAATCTGAAATGCTCACCACGTGGGCATAATCTCAACAAAATGATCTACTGCAGCCTCGAAGCTTCTCGAACATCGTAGGCGCGTTTTGCGGTCAATGTAGTGTAACGGGGCGATAAGAAAGCTTGAGAAAGGAACGTGGCAATATATCAATTGCATTCATAAATAAAAGGCTATTTGTTTGCCATTAGAAGACTAGATCAAAACTCTGCATTTGCTTAAGCTTGTTACAAGATTAAAGCCACGAAAAGTAAATATGGAGCACTAATCGCAAATTGGCTGTCAATGCAAGCAAGAACCGAAGAGAAAACAATTAAAATGTGAAGCTGGTTCATCATCAGGCTTCAGCTGCCATAAAGCAAGAGATTACAATAAATATTCTGGTGCCCTAAGCTATCTACACACTATAGTATTGATTTCTATCAGCATCAGCCTGTTTCTCTGTTGACCGCTTAAATAAATAAATGCATCTCGATTCCTTGGACATGCTATAACTGTTCTTTACAACTTCTACATCTGAAGAATATCTCAATTTAACTCTGTTTCATCCCTGTTCTCAAAGCAGTCATGCACGATCTTTAAGCGGCAATTCGATTGCCCAAATTTTACATTAAAAACACTTTACGAGCAGTAAGTGTTCCTCGGAAAGACGTGATTGAAGTTCACCATTTCTAGAATCAGTTCGTAACAGTTAACAAGAAGGCGTGGTAATACATACACAGCCAGTTGTCTAAGCCCTTCATTCAACTCTTCGATGTTAAAACAATGAAGATTTGCTTGATAGAGTAAGATGCGGCAAACAAAAAAAAAAAACATGCCACAGTTACGCTGCTACAGAAGATGATATTGGCTGCCTATGTATTGGTAACACTTATAGTGTGCAGATGCCAATATACAACATGATGAAGTCATAAATCTTAAAGATTGGTTTTGCTGATATCAGCATGTACACTGACAATGAATGTCGAATACAATGAAGATACAGTTGAATGCTCAACCATGAAAGTCACCACAACGAAATGCATTGTATAACAAAGAACTCCTCCCGTACTGGCTGCATTCTGACTGCAGCGGGGCAGGAACAATGTACTAACGATGTGACTTTTATAATGGAGTATTTTGAATGCCCAGCACTGATTGCAGCAACTACGTACGACTGTATTCTCATTTCAGGTGCAACTTTAGTTATAACAAGGCTTGAATGTAAAGTGTTCACAGATTGAGACACGACATCAAACCTTTTAGTAATACAACTTGCATGCACATCTTCAGTAGGTTTGTGGTAGCGCACGTACACGACAGGACAAAATGAAGTCGCATGTAGACACACAGGAAGCTATATGTGCTTTCATTTTGAGCTATCGTATATGTGTCCTGCAAACAAACCTACTGAAAATGTGCTATGAACGAGTCCGTATGCCATCTTTCGTGAATTTTATTTGTATGCACAACAGCTCGGCAACGTCGTCATGGGACTGGATCTGGATGCCAAGGGTAATGGTTTTTCTGATGTATGTCTTCAAACCGAAATTACTCCTATATGCTGTCAACTGAAAGCAGCACGTACTGAATTACGTGCATTACCTAGCCCTAACTTGCCGTGTTTCAATCTGTGACCCTAGTACTGCATAAAAAGTAATCACTCCTGATCATGCCCGAGAATGCGTGCCCAACACCAAACAAAACTACCAAACAACTGGGCCAGGGGGTAGACTCAGTCGACCTTGGGTCTCGCAGCCGCCTCCTGAGACTGCTGGGCGGCCACTGCCGCTGCCACTGCGGAGGAGCTTGTGGCGTGAAGGGCCTGCTTCTTGCGCTCGCGGCCCTGCACCTGGTAGAAGACGACCAGGCGACAGCCCAGCATCAGGCTGAACACGATGGAGGGTGCCATGCGCTCAAACTTGTCCCGCAGTGCAGCATGCGTGTAGACGGCGCCCAGCACCAGCACGAGGAGGACCAAGTTGGCCAGCTGCTTGATCCGACCTATGACAGGAAGGCAGGGGTGAGTCATGCATGACGAATTCCAGCAGAACTCGTTGATAGCTTTGTGCAGTAGCATCACACTCATATCAGATAGCAGGGTGCATTTCCAAATTCTAGTCCAACAAGGACCAAGACAGTGAAGAAGTCGGAAAGACGAGGGGGGGGGGGGGATGGAGGGGAGTATTCTAGCAAAATGTCTACACACGTTGAAATTGAAAGAATGCCTTTCCCATATCTAACAAGTGGGTCATATCTATCGGGGACTTTACGTAGCTTTCAAGGAAAATATTGGATCGATGAAATCAGCCGAATGGCTGAATTCAGTAACAGAGTTTCTTTTTATGGCGATCTCTCAAAACACAGTAACCACATGGGATGCCTGAGGAAAACAATGCTTGAGATCAGCCATATCTCTGAGGCTCCTGCAAACAAAGCGTTATTAATCACAATAAGCGAGAAAGCAATGTGAATACTATTTAGTAAAGTCACAAAAGCTTATTCCTTGTGATGCTGCCGGTTTATAACGAAAAGCTGGCAGACCGCCTGATTGGGACCCCTGGCCTCGTGTGTTATACTTACTTTGATGCCAAAGTATGTCCAAATTAAAAGACGTGCTAGTGGGAGAGGGCAAGGAGGCAGACGCAATCTCGCATTCTTTATTCATGAGCAAAAGTTCTGAATAACTAAACATCATGAGCACTTGCGCGAATAAAAGAATGAGGTGCATAGATAAAAACACCCCTCAGCTGTACAGGGTGAACGAAGAGTCACCAACACACACAGTTGCCTATCTGCTGCTATGATATTTCCTATTCGTTCACTACTTTTGCGCATGGAAAAAGATGGTGTGACATTGTGCTTATCCCTGTATTTAGAGCACATTCCGTTGTTGACACATCCTTTTACTTCAAACGACTACAAAATATACTACCACCAAGAAGTAGAAAAAATGGCAGAAATTTATAGTTTGAGTCTACATAAATTGCATGCGAGCCTGGGCTGTTCAGTAAAAGTAAGACGTCTCCAGCACAGTCATCAAAACACGCTCTAGCTACTTCTGGGAGGAATATACCAGGCTGGACGGCGTTACGTAAATTAAGGCTGTCGTGTTGACTCCTCACCTGTCTCCAATGTACACTGTTTTCGAGCTCGAAACAAGGTTATTTTCTCCAACCTTTTTCCCCAAGTAGTTGCCATCGCAGTTCCATAATTTGTCAAAGTGAGCCGCACCCATTAGCAAGCGAGCCACCATCCTCATTTTTTTCCTGAAGACGCCTATCTCGTCGTCTTCTTGCGACAGCCTTCGATCTTTGAAAGTGTTCTGTCTTTACGAGAAAATCTCTCTGGAGCTTTTATTGGCGCTCAGCACAGTGCCGTCTACAATATGGCTTACATTCGAACAGTCCAAAAACAAACAAGTCCCTGCCCCACTACACTTCTTTGTTTCTTCATTCTGTGTCGTACTCAATTTTCTGCATCCCTCACCCTGATAATTTCACTAATTTTTCCTGAAACTTCTCAGCAGGCAGTCTTTTACAGTCTTTATTATCTTTCCACAAATCCTCCCCACAACAAAATAACTGTCAGCTACAGTTTTCATATTATTTGCACGATTGTATAGAAGTCCTGAAACAATGTCTCAAAAGCCTCGACTTCAGTTCACGACTATCTGTCTTAAGTGTTACTTCTTTATCAGAATATGAAAATCTGCGCGGTAACAGGATGGAAAGCCTTCAGAGATGCATTAGCCTCAACAGCACTTAAAATATGTGCACTGCTCTAACTGGCACAGGTTTAACAATGTCAATATACCCTTTCACAATAGAGTCTCCCCCCCCCCCCCCCGCAGCCACAGTCAAAACTGTTGACTTGAAGCAGCTTCAATCGGGACACACCGTCTTTTGGATAGGTGGTGTAGCTGTTGAGGGAGCATTGAGCCTAAATCGGGTGCATGCATCGCAATTATTGCGCAATTGTTTAACACGTGGGTGGTGTCTTAGTGACCAGAATTATTCACATAGCTTAGCGAAAGTGCCACGAAGGCCACCACGATGACAGCGTCGATGCGTGTCGGTCAAATGGAGGCGTGCATAATACCGATATGGGGGCAGCCGTTCAGGCCAGTTGCCATTCTCTGAAATTGTTGCATTGTTCAAGGGAGAGCTGATGCCAATAGTGTCTTTGTCTTCAACTCCCTCTTCAAGTTGGACATTGAAGGATACCCTTCTGTTCCATTTGAAGAGGCGTGAAAAAAACAACTTGGGTTCTTGTCGTACATGTTTCGTGGATCACTTCTCACATTTTATCAGTGGCGATCTTCTCCCCATGTCCATTTTGTGTGGCTCATACTTTTTACACAAGGTTCAACTGTACCTTTCTTCAAGGGAATGTCAACACTGCCACGGTCCTTCGCTGATGCCTTGGTAGCGCAACTTCATAACGACCATGTCAAAAATCAATGGCTTTGTTGAATCCTCTCATGTCAATGACTTGCTTCGGGAATGTCTTTCCTGCAGTACCACTGATATTGAGCTCTAAAAGCCGCTGTGACGAGTGAGAGAAATCCTTCTCCTCATAGACGTCTGTTCATAGGACGCAGATATAACTGCTCCCACCAATGGTTTACCTTCTGCATTGATGACTTCATGAAGTTTATTCGTCTTTGAAGATTCAGCGATGTCGCCTCAGATAAAAAGAACGATGACAGCTTCTATTTGCACTAATTATGGCAGTAATTACATAAACTAAAACAATTATTTTTTAATTATTTAAAATACCCGGTCGAATCCAATGGGTAAATTAAAGTTCTTCCTACAAATAGTCTATAGCCACTTCAAAATTTTGGAATGACTGCCACTGGTAATCACAGGGGAGCGATGAAATCTGGCTGAATTAGCTGGCAAACCGAAACTGACGCACCAAACAGAGCATCTACCGTTCACTTCAAAAATGCCTTCAATGTAAAATTAACTGTTTTTGTTTTAAATTGTATGAAAAGTTTATTGTTCAAATTTATTTAATTGCTGCTGCAATTAATGTTTGTACACATCTGAAGATTCCTTATGCCAAAGTAAAGCAAACTTCTCAGGTAGCATGCAGATGCCTCCTTTCTGTTTTTTTTCTAATAATATTGGACACATTTCTTGAAACACCAGGTATATGAGACTCGGGCCTAACACGGGCTTGACTCAGTCTCGGGCCCGACCCGAGCCCGAAGCTCATGGGCACGAGCCTACCCTGGGCCTAATCCAACGATGCCTTACCCGTCTCGGCCCAAGCTTCCGGGCTGGCTCAGGCCCATGCAGCGCTCAATAGCGCAGTACCTGTTGATACCTGGCAATGTTATATATACTTAGAGACACCTAGCAGAGTGTCTAGATGGGAAACTTTAATAGAGAATATATGTACTATAACAGGTTTCCTTAGGGTGCTGAATAGTACAAGCAGACACATTATTTTCGAGCATGTAAAAAGTAAAAGCAGAGTGTGTGACCAGCTCTAGTAAGTAGAACAGGGGCCCCTTAGCATGGGTAATGGACGGATGACACAGGTGCGCGAAATGCACCATAAAAAGCCAGACTGCTACGAACCTTTCCAACACAACATAGCAATGATGACTAGGTTGAAGTGTTGCCACAGATTCATCTATTTCATGCAGCAGTTTCCCTGTTGTTTCTACGCCCACACTTTGTTAGAACATGCCTTGCATTGCCATAGCCATTATGGCTCAAGAGCATACTCTTTGAAGGCCAGGGTCTGATCATTGAGTTGCATGAATGTAATAAGTGGTAAGACCCATTCTGTGTTTCTTTCTATTTTTTCTAACAAAAGCGAGCAGGGGCCAGATATCGAATATTGTAACTACGATAAGCTCTTACTTCTCGCACTGCTCTACAGTCTATGAAAAATAGGAAAGAAGAAAGGGCAATATTGCTTGATCTGAAAATGCCTTTTGCACCCTTAAATGGTACTTCACTAAGCCTTTAGGGTGTGCCATGCGGGCATATTACGAACGATTCTGGCTCATGCTCCGTTATTGAGAATTTGCTTATGATTAATGGTCCCAAGTTTAATACTGTCCAAATAGATTGCAACACTTCTTCCCTCTGTTTTCGCCGCTTTGTAGTTGCACATGGCGGACATAGCAGAATTTCCCGAAATATGCTCGCATACCCATGACCACCATCATACACCTAAGCAACTATGAGTTGGCAGGGCAAAGAGCTTACCACTGCCTCCATATAAGGAGGGGCGAGCCTCACCAAAAGTTACTGTTTATGCATGGGCACAAAATCCCAAAGTGTTCACTAAGTGCCAAAGCTGACGAACAAAAGTTAGTGAGCCCCAGCTTATAGGTGCACGTAGCCATGAAAGCATAATATCGAAACCCCGTGGCAGCAGGCAAAATTTGGTATCTTTTTCTGTAATCATTGTCTTGTATGAAGTTAAGAATGACAGTCAACTGATTATAGCGTCACAACAACGCCCATAAGTAGTGGTGTAATGAAAATGATAGGAAGGTGGGCCCGGCAGTGTTTTGCACTCTCAAATCCTGTGACAAGGAAAGGCTTAAGCATGAAATTACAGTAGACTCTCAGTAAACAGAACCTGAAGAAACCGGGAAAATGTGTTCCATTTAAAGTAAATTCCGTTTACTGAGAGGTGAACATGGGTGCAGAATACAAGCCTGAAGCGAAGCATTGCCGACGCAATAGTTCCATTTAAGCAGCAGTTACCTTTAACAGATTTCCATTTACTGAGAGTCTACAGTAAACTTTTATTTCATGAACAGTCTCTTCTATCTCACCTGGTACAAGAACTAGGATAGTCCCACAGACCACCTCAGACCAGCCAATGAAGAGCCGGTAAATCTTGGGGTTCATCTTGAAGTTAAGCAGCTTGCTGAAGGGAAACACTTTGGAGTACTGCACAAAGTTGCGCCTCTGCAAGAGTGCAATAGAACCCACAGTAAGATCATATGAAAGTTACATTAGTAAGTTAAGCACCTGCAATAGAAACAGTCAATGTTAATAAGACGGTAACCTAGAAGACATAAAAAAACAAACGGCTAGTGCCATTTATTAAAACTTCTCACACTACTTCTGAATGATATGAATTTTTGAGTGTCGGCAAGAAGGTACTTAATTTAATTTCAACAGAATTACAGGGTAAAGTTAAGAATGTCTGTATTTACTGCTGTTGCATAGGGAATCGCCACAGTGTCACTGACTTTTCAGCACAAGCGTGTTGTACTTTGTAGCAGATACTCAAGTAAAAATTAGCACAGTTTCACTAAGCGGCGCAAGGTTAGTTCACAGCAGAGCCGGAGGGCATGTAGCTTGTCCTGGCTTGGCTAGAATTTTATCCTCTCCCCTCTTTCTTTCCCACCATTTGCCATACTCTGATTTGCATTTCTATGCTTGCTTGCTTTTTTTTGTGTCTATTTTTTTCTACCTCCATCTATTCCTTTTTGTCTTTCTATCTTTTTCTTTTTCTTTTTACGTTGGTGTTATGTAATGCTAATATTATATTGATGACACACGGCCAACCTCAAGCATAGCAGCTTTGCTGTAGGACTTGAATGAAACTAGCACTGGGCTAAGATAACGGGAAGCGTGAGAGGGTGCATGGCTGTTTCGCTGAAAATAGGCAACTTTTCACGGTTTTCCTCAGTTTGCACGGTTCATCATGGAAAGGATGGGATGATTTTCATCACCCATCTTGGGCAGTGCTGGGCCATTAATATGGTTTCCTGGCCTGGAAAACAGAGCAGCTGCGGTGCCGTGAGCAATTATTAAAAAAAAAGTGGCACTTTTTGTGAGCTGCACAAGCATCTGTGCAGCAACCGAGGTGCTCACACAGCAGAAAGACATCTTCGAGAAGCTTTTCCAGGCAAGGAAAGCAATAATCATGGTCGCTTACCAAGTGAACAACTACTCCTTGCCTCAGGCAGCGTATATCAAAGTGTTGAAGTGCAACAGACGAAAGCTTGCCACAATCGAAAGCTGTGTTTGCTTCAGGCAGGATAGCAGGAAGAAATGCATTTAGATTATGGTGTGGGCAGCAGTTCAAATTGCCTTCTAAAATATATATTGTGCTGTCATTAAAAAAATTATGTTTCTATTTTATACATGAACATTCGTTGCCAAATGCTTCTCTCGAGTTTTCTCTACATTTTCAATGCAGCAAAACGGCATCACGGTGCAGGTTTTCTATGAGAAAATTGCAACATCTCACATGAAGGCTGCTCTCATGATGCCGTCGACCAAGCAACACTTGCTTCCCGATAGCTCCTGTAACCTTTTGTCTAACACCTTTTACATCAATAACAGAGGGTAGAGCTACCTGATAAGTATTCATACTAAGCAATGTTAGGACACAACTGAGCACATAGCACCAAACATTGACCATCAACTGAAGTAGTGCACAGTGGCAGAAAGGGAAAAAAAAAGAAAATATAAAAACTTAACTGCAAATTCCCATGCACTATGCAACACAGCGTATGTGTTGTCTCAACTTCTCTCATATGTCCGTGCTTGCACGCTCTGTCTCTTAGAATAAAGCTGTTTCATCTTTTTTTTTTTCCTGCTTCATGCCCTGGCACATGCCAGGAGTAATAGTGTAACAGATCTTGTTTTCATTTTCTTTACATAATAAACTACACCCTATGCAGGCAGAGCACGGCAAGGTGCGCCAGGCGAACCAGCCCTTTTTCTTTTGACACAATATTAATGAGAAGAGACAGTTATGTCTTATGAAGAGGACAGAGGGATGACCACCACCATGCTCAGTGGTAGAGCACTGGACGAGTTATTCCAAGGTTGCAGGTTCGGATTCTGCTGCTGGCAAGTAATCTTTGGGTCCACTTTTCTTCCTTCGTATTTACATTACAATGACTTCCTATATTTCTCTTGGTACCATTGTCTGTTAGTACTAATCAATGTTCTAACGAAGAAACAAGACCTTAACACTTCTTTACTTCTCTGTTACGTGTTTTCTACCTTCGTGCCTTTGGACACCCCACATTGTGTCATAGTGATATGAAGCTGAGGTCGATGTACAACCATGCTGCACTCTGGCACATAAATGTTTCCTATCGTGCCTAAGAAGTAAAGAACCCATTCTCATAAAAAGGCAGTGCAATGAGCACACAAAAAAGAAATGTTGTGATTATCGTTATTCTTTAGCAATCTGCCGGTTGACGCGCATTCAAAAGAGGATACAATGATGAGCACAAGATGAGCATGTAGACGTATAGTAGCACGTACATTGCTCTTTTTTTTATGTAACGCATACTGGCTGCGCAGCGACTGCGTGCTAAGCGAGTCCAACTCGAATAATTTCATCAATACACCTGGACAGCGCAGGACGACTCAGCTAAGAAACGCTTCCGGCGGTCGATCCCTTGTGCGCCTACCTAGCTTGGATTGATGCGCTGTTTGTGTGCAGTGCGTGTACATTGGCACGCACGCCGTTTTCACAGATCGATCACCAGCATTCGTGCAGAAGTGCAGGCGCGGCCTCTTACAACCGTCAACGCGGTTCACTCAGTGTGCTACCGCGGTGAAATAAGTGGCGCGAATAAAACAAGCAACAAGGCGCGCTCTCCAGGAAGCACCGGGCGCACGGAATTGCCTCATAGCAACAGACCGTGTGAACGCACAGTTTCCTACTCCGACTCCACGCGCTACACTTTCATGCAGTCGTCGGAAAAAACGGGCGCCAGCTTTCACATCGTATGCGTGCACAAACGAAGAGATTAACCGTGCAGGATGAGATGTGCCTTAATTTTGCCGTTTTTTGATCGGAGTCCGTGCGGATGCAGTTAACTGTGAATCTGCTACGTACGATCTCACGGTGCATCTCGCGGTTGATGTTCGGCGTCACTTTCATGGAGCCGACGAATATGAAGAAGAGTCCCAAGAACACAGAAAGAGTGGTCAGCACGATAGACTTCATTTTGAAGTATTTTGCACGGCGGCGATCTGTGAGAAAGTCCCTTGATTTTCTCCTGTGTCCCTGTAGATGCCACTTCCTCGCAGGCACGAGTCTTAAAAAATAACTGGTAATGCAAGCCCCACTAGCGTCTCAACTTTGAACCCATACGCTATGCCTGCCGCATTCAAAATGAAGCGCTGCAGTCGGTAACGTTGCAATGCGCCTAAGGTTGATAACGTAATATTTATTATTTGTCAGTCATAAATATCGATACATTTATATAATGTTTATTCGACAGGAATTTCCCTTGTCAGCTTTGTTATTTATTTTTTTTTGTATCTACAGGGACTAGAAGCCAAATAAGAGCGGAGTCAACGCAGCTTCAGCCTCTCTTTTGCCTAGCAAGGAAAACACATTGAACAGTCCTTACCAGCTTTGATGTATTCAGATGATACAGTATTAATAGCCGACAAGGAAGATTACAGAGATGGATATACATCTGTGGTAATGAGAGAGATAGGTTAAATTTGACGTTCAGCCGGGAAAAATCGACAATCATAATATTTATTGATAACAAAGGCAGTGAGCATAAGATACAGGAAGTCATGCTAGAAATAGTGTAATAATACAAATAATTCGGCGTATGGATAAATAATGGGGCTGAGCACCAAAGGGAGCACAAAAGATACGTGATGACTAAGAGTAAGAAGAATGCAGCTGTAATGAAAAATAGGGCACTGTAGAACTACAATAAGTATGACGTTGTGAGAGGGATTTGGAAAGGTTTTATGGTTCCGGGTTTGACGTTCGGCAATGCGGTCTTGTGCATGAAATCAGAGGTTCTAGCAAGATTGGAAATTAAACAACGTTGCATAGGTAGACTTGCTTTTGGAGCACACGGGAATACCCCATATCAGGGTGTACAGGGTGACATGGGATGGACATCGTTTGAGTGCAGGGAAGCTAGCAGCAAGATAGTTTGAGGAGCGATTGAGAAAAATGAGAGAGGAGCGTTAGGCTAGGAAAGGTTTCAGCTACTTGTACATTAAGAATGTTGATACTTAAATGGAGGAAGCGAACTAGAAAATTGTCGACCAAGTATTTACAACCACAGAATACCAAGCGAAAAGGAAACATCGGTTAAGAAGAAGGTGAAGGAAACATAGAGGGACATGTGGAAGATTGGAATGCTTAAGAACTCATCACTGGAGACCTACCGAACTTTTAAGCAGGAAATTGCAAAAGAAATGATCCACGATAATTCTCGGGGTAGTTCTCTGCTGTTCGAGGCCAGAACAGAAGTTTGCGGATCAAGACGTACCGAGCCAAATACGAAGGCACAGACACGTTATGTAGTTCGTGGGGAGAGGAGAAGGAAACGGCTGAACATTCGATAATGTTCCGTGAAAGGCTTCACCCTATAGTTCAAAATAATGGTGCGGAATTTTTCAAAGCATTGGAGTTTAGGGACAGTAAAGATAAAATAGACTTTAAGGCGTTAGAAATAAACAGAAGGAGGCTAACTGATTGGTGGCTACAATCAAGGCGTGAGTGAAATTCAATCCTTAAACACATAGTGATAGTACTTAATTTTATGGCTAGGTCGCGTGAGCCACCACCTGATCTAAAGGGCACAACCGGATACATCCATCCATTCATCCATCGTGGGCTTTTCCCGCGTTGGAAGCCGCGGCAAAGCGGCGGGCGTCTGCTACGCGCCTGATATTTTGCGGCTGTTAGCCAACATAAAAATTTTGGCGATGTTGAATACTATGCCCCTGCAATGTAATACTGCATTGACTCACCACGCTAAGAACGTGTTTGTGCGGTGCGAAAGGGAAATCTGGTTTGTTTACCTCTAACACATGCTCGGCCATCTCAGGAACGTTTTCTGGACGCACTTTATTGTCAGCGAAGAGAGCTTAATTTAGTTATGTGTGGAAGGACGCATGTAGACGTGCTACAGAAGATCATAAGCTATAAATTGCATAAATAACCACTAGAACGCAGCAGGTGTGTGCGCGCAGTAAGTGGCTAGCTCATGATAATGCGTTTGAGACCTCTTTTATTGTGTGCGTTCGATTGGTTTTGTAAGTCTTCCTGCTGCCCCATCTTATTTTCTGGTATAGTTGAAAGGCTTGAATAGCTCGTATGAAGTGGTATGTGTCAATCGGTGTGAACGCGGCACTAAAAAAAATAACCCAGTAATTGGCGTAAGTCTAGCGTCTCGTTCAATTTGTTTATGATCGGCCCCATTGTACAACTAACATGACTAATTGGTGACGAGCTATTGTCAATAACCGGACGTGTTTACATTTCCCGCCACCATTAACAATAACTCGCAAGGTCCTGAATTGTACTGTCGCCTTAGACAGCTCGATGGGAAACACGTTGCTTTTCTTCAGTCGATAAATTTTATTTACCCCCCCCCCCCCCTTTCCCCAAGAGTTTTCAGCATCGAACGTGGTTTTGCGCTAGCTGTAGTGTCTTAAGTAATCTAATTCAAGCTTCTGTACCTCACTTTGTTTTGCACTGCATCCGCGATTGGTTGGACGATCACGGAGACATTGTAATGTTACGATGCCATACTGAGGCAGCATGATGGCGTCACAAACTTCACGTGATAAAGTTTTACATCACTCGCACGCACTAGCGTGCTTGCGGAGGGGGGGGGGGGTGGCTGCCTCCCTAGTCTCCCAAAAAAAGGGGGGGGGGCGCAAAGTGAACACCCGCATCTATTGGCAATATACCGAAGGGGTGTTCGACACGTTACCCTTAATGACCAGCGGTTATCCTGTCTACGCGCTACATGCCCGGCCCAAGTCCACTTCCTTTTCTTGAGTACATGGGTGGTGGGCCCAAAGTCAGTCCTAAACGTTGACATAATAGGTATGGGGGCACGCTGCAGTGACTATTCTCTCTCCCCCTTGACGGGGAGACCCGCTCAAGTTTGCCCGGTGACGGCAGCGCTTGCCTTTCCCCTGCCAGAAAAAGCGCACAACAATAGAGTCTTCCGACGATTCCGCTCCCTTTGGCTTCCACGCATTTGCGAAGCACGCGCTGCACGTGAAACGTCCCTCGTTCCGCGATGTCACCCCAACAGAAAAGGGGTTGACATCGCTGCGTCGTCAACTGTCACAATAACCGTGCAAACACGAAGAGGTCGACTCCACCAGTGAAATTCTACCGACATGGTACGAAACAAGCAGACGACAGAAATGGATGAAAGCAGTGCGCCGAAAAAAGTATGTAAACAATTTTTTTCATAAAAATTAGCACGCGCCCAATGCATTCAAAATTACGAGTGTTAATTCCTGCGTCACCTGGGAGATGCACGTCCCCATCTTAAAAGTATAAATTTTCAACGCCCGTCTTTAGAGCACTGTTAAAAAATAGCGAAGAAATATTTTATGCCGCTACTATTATTCGATATTGTTGGGGACGTAGTAGTTGAAGCTGTGTGCACATGTGGTATTGGTAATGTGTTGTTAAATATTTTTAAATCTACGCAGCGCCGACGCAAGTGTGTGGTTGCCAAAAGCTTAGACAACTATGAAAAAAAAGAAACAAATGCATTAGCCGTTGTTGCACATCCGTTGGCAGATACAGTGAACTAGTTGTTAATGAGTGTGCAGGGGTAGACCGAACAACACGGTGCATTTTTGATACGTGACCAAGATAAAATGTTTTTATAGCAATGCGCTCTTCCCCTGCAGATTAGACACACACAAAAAAGTTTCTCTGAAAGCTGGGCGCTCATCATCATGGTACGCACGCTGTTCGTGAACTCAAAGTACCCGCGATGAGAACGGTGATAATGCAAGGAAAGACACGCGAGATAGATGTCAATTATTTTTGTGGGCCAGACAGAAGCCCCAAATAGACCATTTAATTTTGAAGTGCTGTGTATATACCGCACGATAACTTGGGTGGGTGCTAGTAAATTAAGGTATCCCAACTAATAGCAGTGACAACGCAAGAACCGCTTAACCTAAAACACGAGAAGCGGCCTTACCCATGCATCCAGTAACAAACATAAAGCATAGTACACAGAGTAAACCAAATAAAGCAGGTATATAATTATGAACGTACAGGAAGTTTTATTCACCTCTAGCGTCGTAAACAACGTCGTCTTTCACTTGCGAAACGCACTTCGCTCTGACGAGGACGGCGTCATCTGCTACAACTTGCTTCGCTGCCCTTTTACCAAATTGCTGCCACGAAAAAAAAAAAAATCCTCAATTGCGACACCCTATTAAATGCGGACAGAGCGCATACATCATAACCGCGCGCGACGCGAGACTCTCAAAAACGCGTGCAAAACAAGTGCAGCGTGCGAGCAAAGCAACGCGTTTTCAAGCAGGTGGAATGGGACAGCGGAGGGGCCAACACTCGAGTAACCAGTTTTCTCCCGACATTGACTGACAGCGCCACGCTCCGCAGCGCCTCCCTCGGCGTGGGTTTCCTCTATCAACACCTATAGTCTAGGTGGTGTTGCCTCTATGCTCGTACGTGCTGTCGTCACCGAGGAGGGACACTGAGGCCGACGGTCAATTTGCGGGTTTCATGAAGAATCTAAGGCCATTGTCTTAAAATATAGTGTGTGGTAGGATCTATCCTCACCGAATGATGTAAACTTGGTCATCACCTATCTGGTTGGACATTACCCATATATTTTGAAGAACTGAGCGCATTCGTAAAGTTGTGCAAAAATATTAGGTGTGCAGAGAAACAAGACAAATCAAATAAATGAACTACATGCTTCAAGCGAACGCCTTAAACCAAGCGTACGTGGGGCAATAATTACTGACGTGGCTTTTCCCGTTTGTTAGAAAAGCGTTACACTTGGCGAATGTTAACGTGTAACTTTAGGAATTTGTTTCGTATACTCGTTGTTCCGGGCTTCGCAATTATACATTGATATGAATAAATAAATACTTGGAGTTATGAAGACGAATGAATAATAACAAGAGAATATTCTTTTCATGGTTTACCTCATTCGAAATTTTTATGATGTGATTCCTTTAGATAAGGACCATCCCGTCTCATAAGTGAGCCCAGATCACACCGAAACATAGTTGCTATACC